ATTGTCTCAGGCCTTGCAAATAAATCATGACATTTGTGTGGCACAACTTTATGGTTATATAAAATATGTGACTACTTAGTATGTATATTTGAGTGACTTACTTGTAGTACGTGTTAAAAAATTGCGGCCAAGTTTGCAATTCAAGTCGAGCTACACGTTTGCGTAATAAAAAACACTAAAATAGTTCTCATAACAAAAAAATGTAAATACGTTACCGATATATTAATATTCATTAAATTATTAATAAATTACTTTTATAATGGTTAACAATTATAAACTTTCGTGATCAATTTAAAGTGCAAAGTCAATTTCTATTACACAAATTGGTACGCAAATATTTAATTAGATATCGATTATATGCAAATCATAAGAAAAGGGAAAATTTCGCGTAGGGCAACTAACAATAACTATAAATACTTTTCTAAGTTATTAAATATCAACAATGACAAACAAGAAAAACGTAAAACAACGTAAAATTCAGAGAAATTATACTAAATAAATATCTTTTTTGGATATCCGTCTGGCAACCCTGGTCTAATTTTTTTAAAAACATTTTCCATACTAGAAACAAGTTGCTTAATTAGCAAAAAAAATGTTTGCTGATTTTTTTTTAACGGTAGCCTTAGATAACTACACAAATTACATTGGATTACTTCTTAAATAGTTTATAGTTTCCATTGCCATGTTCATAGTATTTAATTATTGCTTATACAATACAAAATTTGCAATATGATCAATTTCTTAGATTTTTTTTTAAATAATTGATAAGCAATTGATTTCTTATTTTTAAATCAATAAATTAATGTGTGATTACTTGCATTATTTTTGCATTCTTTAATAAATATTTTTTAATCAATCTACTACTTATATTTATAAAAAAATATTTGTTGTTAAAAAAATGTGGCTAACAAGTATATAAATAGAATATATTTAATAAGTAGTAATTAATATTTCGGCAGTTGGATTACATAAGAATTAACTTTATGACGTAAAGTAATCAAAATGTAATGGTAAAAATTAAAAAATTATTTTTCGCCAACTATTAAACTAGCAAGGTAATTCTAATGTAATAAAATGTAATCAGTACAATTTTTTCTCAAGTATTTCTACCCACACATTAACCATCAAAAATACATTATCTCCAATAATCACTACGCTATTCGCTTGAAGCCTTCAGGCTAATGAGCCCTAACTATGCTTTAAACATGCCACAATCAAGTTCATTAATTCACAAAATCAACCGTACTTCACACATATAAAAAAAATACATTTAAATGCCTGAATTAGATTTAATTTCATTACTTTGCATTGAGACTTCAAACATTTTCGCGCTAATTAAATAAGTTAAGTGCCGCTTGCATAGAAAATATTTAACACTTTACATTGATTTGTTAACTTTATGCATGTGTGTGTGTCTGGCTAACATCATTTTACCAATCGAATAAGTGGCAATAAACATTTCTTAATGCAATCAACTGTAAAGAGGGCACAAAAACAAAAGTTGCTAACAAAAGCACATCTAACGTGAGCTATTATGCTTTCACACGTATATATTTATAACCATAAAATTGTATTTGTGTGGGTATGTATGTTTTATATTTGTACGTAGTTACACTTATCTCATTACCGCTACTGCTATGGTCATTGGACGTGCTTTGATTCAAGGTTAAGGTTGCATTTGTAGTTGCTGTCAGGCTATTAGCGCATAAAAGCAGAAACTTGCCACTGAAGAGTATGTCACGATCGAACAAAAATAACAACGAAAAATATCATACACCAATCAGCTGTGAACAATATCGATGTACTGGCATAGTCGTAAATGTAGAGACGAAACTATAAGTATTGCCAGCATCATCTAACGAAGTTAACTAGCAGTTTATTACTTAATGGTCTAGTAAAAATAATGCTGCATTTATTAAGCTTTTCAAATATATAAACAATTCACACTTAGTTCTTTGTACGACTTATTTAAAATACTCAATAAACAATTGTATAAAAAAATAAAAAATAAAATTTTAACTGCTGTTTTTATTACTTGTTCTTTTTTTTTGTTATCAAGTCACATGCTCTTATTGTATTAAAATACTAGTAGAAAATATTTATTTAAAGCCGCGTGAGAAATCATTACACCGCAATATTTCTAAATAATCAATCATACGCCTAGTTGTCCTCTGACACAGCACACATGTTTAGACACATGTTGCAGCAACGTGTGTGCATAACCATCAGATTAGTAATCAAACTAAATAAAAAGTATATTCGTAAGTTGAATCGTTGCACGCAAGTGTTTATTCACCCAAATGTCGCCTACGCAATGACTTTAAAAGTATTATGATGAATTTGTCAGACTCTTACTTAATTCTTTTCAGTAGTTTTACATTTTTTCGTTAATGCTAGAATATTTAGAAGTCATAAAAGCCAATATTGTTTGATTTGAAGTGAAACGGAAATACCTCAAAGAAAACTAAAACAGTTTATATGGCAGCTATATGCTATAGTAATTTAATCTGAATAATTTTTTCCGAGATTGCTCAATTTTTTTACTTAATTATCTTGGCACTGATTATTTTCTTGAAAATATCTGTAGAAATGAAAAAGTTTTCCATACAAGCGCTTTCGTTTGTTCTGTTTGTATGGCAGCTATATGCTATAGTGGTCCGATATAGGACAACAAAGCAGCAGCTTCTTAGAAAAGAATGTAAGAAAAATTTCAGATCGATCTCTCAAAAACTGAATTTATGAATGTGATTGTTAGGTCAATATTGAAATTATTTCAGAAGTTCCTTCAAGTTCAAATTAGTCACTGTACTTGTTCCTTCAAATCCAAACTAATCATTATAGATCTAGCAATATCATTTAACTTTAAATTTACTGTCTCAGATAGGGACTTTCTAAGCCATCCAACGAGATTTATATAAGAGATAAGAATTGATTATTGTCATTATTCGAGCAATATTGGACTTATTATAATATGTCATTTCTAAGCTCAAGTTTCAATATTGAACTATATACTAGTTTGATTATCAAATATTGTTTTGTACACTTTCCTAAACAGTGACGATATTTATGATCGAACTGTGTACCGTATTGTTGTACTTTTTCTTAACTGATCATTTTTCAATGCGTTCTTCGAACATTGAAGAATAACCTTTGATACTAAACTATTTCAAGATAATGCAATTGAAACTTTCTTGAGCAATACTCTTTAATAAATAAATTTAATATATGTACATATGAATATATATATTGTATATTTTATTGTCTACATGCATTAATGATTTTTAATTTGAATAATAAAAGCTTACTTTCAAAATAATAGCAAAACTGCCCTTCAATTAAAAATAAATTGTTGTTATTTTTATTTATATATATCTATATACATAATTTTTAATTGATCGCTGACTTTCCATGCATTTTTATTGTAATTAGTTCCTGTCAATCACATGTTTATTAAATTCGTTTGGCTTGTTCAGTCGCAATTGTACCCGTAATATGTTGAAGTTCAAGATCAATGACTTTAGCTGATAAATCATTCATCTATACATTTCAATTTCTACAGCAATAGCTATAAACTCAAAAACAAAAAAAAATAGTAATTGAAAAATATGTTCAAAGAAGAGAGAATTTAATAGGAAAATTTTGAGAATTATTGAATTCGTTGGAATAAACAATATAACAGAAACTCTCAGGCCAGCCTGAGCCTATAGGGAATGACGTCAAAAGCAATAATCAAAGCACAGACCAGCGAAAATTATTGTGTTTCGACCCTTTTCGAATTTATATTGCTAAGCTTTTCTTCAGATAAATAACAGAAGTACCGAAACAACTTTAATAGTTTTGTAATAATCGAAAATTGCCTGCGGCTTCAATACTACAAAGAAATCGCAGAATAAAAAAATCAATTACATAACGCTGGTGCTTGGCACACGAATCGCTGAAGATTTAGTATCTAGTTCAATAATGCATACTCATGGGGTATCTGAATCTTTTGTACGTCATTTAGGCACTCTTTGTCGAAAATTTCACGCTGATTATGTAATTATGTACATTAAAAACTATAAGCATTTTTTACATATCTTGTTCTTTGTCTTTTTGCTCGGATACAAGAATTGATTCCTAGAAAAATTATTGGCAAAATAAAAGAACTTTTTATTTTTCTTATGACAGCACTCATCGGCTGTGAATGTTTCCGGTTGTCAGTATTATGTATAAAATATACTGGGCAATGCTTAAGGCTATACACATGCTGTTGTATGGAAAATTTTTTAAATATATTTCATATATACAAAATTTTAAATCGATAACTCAAAAACTGACGGGCTAGTTGGCATATATACAGGCGGATAGACGGACAAACGGCGATGGTTAAATCGACTTAGCTCTTCCGCTGTGTCTACGACGTTTTCTTCTGGGTATTACAAAATTGGTGGTCAACTTAATATATCCTGTTCAAGGTATACAAATATTACATGTTGATGGCGTTCTAGTAACGAATCTTTTAAAACCTATTTCTATAAAAATTCTTGCCTTTTTTGTAATTATATTCTAATTAGAATCAATCTTCATTAATTGATTACCACATCTCTCTACCCACGTTTTTTCGTTAATCTACATTTGCTATTTATTATATTCTCCTACTTCAGACAGCACGCTCTTAACCTCCAATAAATACATAACCTCAAAATCGCACTTATTTACGCTGACAGCGCATAGACAAGTTGAAAATCTAAATTCTATGAAAACATTTCATTTAAATTTTCATTTATACGCACTTGGAAACACTTTATACACAATATGTTCCCCGTGAATTGCCACTTACTGCCTTGTTTACCGACTCACTTACCTTGCCACGAAATGTTTACACATTGAAACAAGTGGAAAGGCTGTTATTCGGAAAGTTTACTACAATAAGCAATTGTGCAATACTTTTTTTTGCAAACTATATACAACAATTCCTCGAAATTGTAATGAAGTAAAAGCAAATACTACTGATAACTCACCAATGGCTTTGAAATCTCGGTTATTTTACAACAAATATATAGTTTTTTTTCTATTTTAAAAAGTCAAACATTTAGTAACGCACACTTGAGACACGACGAAATGCGACAATGTGAATAGGTAGGAGCACGAGTACTGGCGAAATGTCACTCACCTTGTAGTCGTTGAGCACAAACGAAGTTTTCGTTAGGCGACCAATTTTGGCGGCTTTTTATAACAACAATTGCAAACAGCTACGATATTATGATTTGTTGGGTATGCAACAACAATGCCAAGGATGCTGGAGAAAGAAAAAAAAAAGAGGAGAAAAATAAATTAAAATTAGTTTAATATTCTTAAGAACTGAATACATAGTTGCATTTGAGATAAATTGTGTTTAGTATAATAAATTATAAAAATAAATAATATAAAAACCAAATTCAATAAATAATGGGATATATTAACGGTATATTCAATGAACGAGAAAGGGGAGCAATCAGAGACAATTTTTCGTGGGCCCAGCGTTCTCAGGGTAGCCTGGCGCTCTACAACAATTTTTTGCAGACTTTTTTCTAGTATATCCTCCACTAGCCGCGGCTTACTCTTTATGGTCATGGATATATTGGTCAATTATTACTAGCCTCACCTTGGCAGTTTAAGTGAATTACATATCTGATATTGGTAATCAAAGAGTCATTGTCAATTCTGTCGATATATTTTATCAATTTTGGTTATTATTTTTATAAATGCTTTTTTCATCAGTAATAATAAGCCTTTAGAAAATAAATTCCGAGTTGAAAATTATTTAATAAATAACTCGATAACTTTTTTTGCAGACTTTTTTCTAGTATATCCTCCACTAGCCGCGGCTTACTCTTTATGGTCATGGATATATTGGTCAATTATTACTAGCCTCACCTTGGCAGTTTAAGTGAATTACATATCTGATATTGGTAATCAAAGAGTCATTGTCAATTCTGTCGATATATTTTATCAATTTTGGTTATTAT